TGATGAAGGCGAGGGAGGTGATGGAGGAAAACAAACTACAGGAGAAAGGCAGAAAAAGAGTGAAGAAAGGATGAATGAGGAGGAAAGGGCAGCTGTGACAAAGAAACAGTGATGAGTTTTGAGATAAAGATGACTGGAAAAGAAAGTTGTCCTTGCTTCCTCTCTCTCCTAATTAGCTCTCTGGCTGTGATGAATGGCACCGCACTTAGGACCCAATCGGCGAGCCGACCTTGTCATGTGTGTTGATGGGGTGGGGCGAATCTATTCTCCCCCTCCTCTCGCTCCCTCTTTCTATTGTACCACCTCCTGTGGAAGCAGATGCTGCTAATATCAGTGTGCGTGTGTGCGTGTGTGTGTGTGTGTGTGTGTGTGTGTGTGTGTGTGTGTGTGTGTGTGCGCGCGCGCGCGCGCGCACTCTCATTGTGTTTAATTGTGCTTCTATTGGCTTTAGTGCATCAGTGTGCCTCTGAACACCAGCTTCACTTCATATGCAGTGCTGGTTTTGCATATTTTTACATGTAGGAACTAATATTAACACTTAATGCTTTTATGAGTCCTTTACGTTTCTTGAAAAATTGCCAGCAAGACGATGAAATTAAAAAGTGCAAAACAGCTGAAGGATGGGGAGAACTGGTGTGTGCTCCATTGTTTACAATAAGGCAAAATAACAGTCATCAGTGCTGATGCCGCTTCCAATCCCTCTTTGCATTTGCGTTCTAGTTTCCTCTGAGGTTTATTTAGGGGCGATGGTGGCAGGACGTCCTGACTGCTGGGTGAGAGGAAGAAAAAAGAACCAAATAAAGAATTCACTCCAAATAAAAGCTGAGTTTACTTTGGAGCTCATCAAAAATATTCACAGTTAATTCATTTTATTGCAAAAATGCTAACTTTATACCACTTTTTAGCACAAACCTTTCTTTATAATTATTTAAGCATCAGCTTATTATGCGATTCCTCCAACAGCCAGCCTCTGTCCTGGTAGTATTAGTAGTAAGTCCCTTTATTAAAGGTAGTGGCTAGACTCGGCATAAACGTGTAGAAAAGCAGCATAACTAGACTTCACCATCTATATAAACATGGCCTGGGCTTATTTGTTAAGGACTTTTGTCATAAATCATTACAGAAACCCAAATCCTCTCCTCCAGACAGTGAAGAACTGTGTTCTGCGTACGCCGCTCCAACACGTAGAACAAGCTAGCTGCTGTTGCTAGTATTGTGAATAACTGTATTTTTCAATATTCATCATATACATGGAGCGGTAAAACTGGCAGCCCTTTATTTATGAATCTGTAGATTACTGAATTATATTGGGACAGATGATGGAGCTGAGACCTGCAGTCAGCTGAGAGCTCCTGGTGGAGCACAGAGATGAAATATTTAACTAAAGTTAACAAACTGAACCAGCTTTGGTTCTGAAGATGAACAGAATCCTCCTCAATGTCCAAATCGGGTCTTCTGAGTCAAAAGCGTGTCTGCACCTCCGGTAGTGATATCCAGCTAGCGAGGTCAGAGTTCGGTTGAACTTCTCCGGTAATCTGATATCCGTTCTGGTCGCCGTGTCCCAGAGAAAAACAAATGTGACTGACTAGCCGAGGATTCAGGAGCTACATCTGACTGATGACACGTTGTTCTGCTTAACCGTTAACGCACAAACACCGGGGTCGGGGGTTGACCTTGTGGAACGTCACCAGCTGTCCAGGGCCTAGACCGGAAGCTAGTTTCTGTTTTTCCCGCGCCGGTCACAAACATCAGATTTTCCTAAAATTCCAGCCGTGAAAGTCCAAAAACCTTTTTCCTCTGATGTTTTAGTGCTCCTCTACATGTGCGGTTCAGAGGATTTCAGCCTCTGGCCGATATCTTTAAAGGGGAACTAGGCAGTTTTGGCTTGCTTTTAGCACCCTCTAGTGTCTGTTTGTAGAACAAACAGCAAAACTTACGTCCTCGCTGTGTGTTTGTCTTTTTAACACCTAAATGTAACCTGAAACGTCTCCCCAGCTTTCCTTAGTATCTACAGGAGTGATTCATCACTAAATTAAATAAACCAGCTGTGTTGATGATCTAAAACATGCAGGAAACTTGCTGGAACCAGACTGCAGTGCCAGGATGTCTGAACTGACAACTCTAAAGTTGCAAGTGTGGTATTCTGGCCACATAAGGCGATAGTGGCTAGGTGGCCTTTCATCAGCCCTGAAAAGGGTTATCTCACCACAAACTGCTCAGAAAAAGGATTTTAAAATATGAAAAGGTTGCAAAGCATCCTTTTAAAGACAAGTAAGTCGATATCAAAATGTTTCTAAGAAAATGTGTGAAACCAAAAAGGAAGAGTTAAAGGTTTAGATAGAGACAAAACAGTTTGCTGCAAGTTTAAAATAGACAGTGTTTACTGTCAAAACGTGCTTGATTTTCTGAGCTTTTCCCAAACGTTTTCCCTTTTTCCCTAAGAAATTGGAGAAATATTAGCCTTTATACACTCTGTTGTGAATCATCGTGTGCGTCATCACTGGCAGTTTTCTTTTAAGGGAATTTGGCTTCAGGAAGAAATAATTTCCTCCTGTCATTGTTTCACAACAGTTTTGATGGTGCCTTCACAAATCTAAAGGTTGTGCATATTTTATCCCACTCGTTTCATTTCATTAGTGTTTCAACTGTGGGCTAATAACACGCAGACGGTTCCCTGTGCAGCCTGAAGAATGCAGCATTCATGATTTCCACCAAGAATTTGTAATTCTGGCCTTATTACTGTGAAGTAGCTCCTTCTGACTTAAACTCAACCCCAGAGAAGGTAGTTTTACTTTTGGTTTTGATTTATGTAGAATCTTTTTCTTTACATAATTGAGTTTTAAACTCAGTTGTGGTTGTGGTGATGGACGGCCTTCACTCCCAGTGGTTTTTACTGGGTTTCTGGGCCCATGCTGAGATTTTGACATATGTTTGTGGCATTAATGCAGCACTAACGGAGGGCCTGAAACTCACTAACGGTGGTCTTGTCCCACAAATACGGAGACTCTGCAGAAACTGTTCTACAAACGCTGAAATCCTCTGATTCCTCTTCACGTTGAGCTTTGTTTCTAACTTTGTCCTTTGAAACCTCATCTTACATTTGCACGTTTTAAACATTTCATTAACTTTATTGTGCTTCTCTACACATCTTAACTTGTTTTTGTGAAATGAACATGGCCAAGCTTGTTAGGAAAAAATATGTTCAAGTAAAAATGTATTTTATTATTTATTTATTTAACCAGGTGAGTCGACCGGGAACTAGGGTTGTCACGGTAACTGGTGTAGCAGTAAACCCCGGTAAAAAAGTTGACAATAATCATAACCGTCTTGGTTTAAAAAAACTATATTATCTTGGTGGATTAGCGTGGCTGCGGTGTAGGCGCTGTGACCCTTACCAGCCACCGTATCATCTGCTGAAGTTGCCGGCGGCACATGCGCGCTTTGTTGTTTACAACCAAAACTTTCTTGAAGCTAAAGCTGAAATAATGGCCAAAGGAGGAGACGGCAGCGCTCAGGACATTTATTATCCCTCAAAGAAGACAAAGTCGGAAGTACGGGCATCTTTTAGATATTTGAAGAACGCCGAGGGACAGCTGATAGAAGACGGCTATCCTGTTTGCAGCACGTGCAGAAAAAGTGTCTGTGAAAGGCAGCAACGCGTCAAATCTCATGACACATCTGCGTGACCATCACCCACGACTCTACAGTCAACGCAAGGCAAGCTAACGTTAGCGTTTTAGCTAAAATGCGTGATCCGAGGATTTGGGTTGAGGGAGAATGCAACGAGTCGCTATATAAAGCAGCCGCAGCGCCGCTACCTGCATATAAACCGTGTCGCGGACACCGCCATGTTGAAATGACGCTATGCATTACGGGGCTCCCAGGGGCCGATAAGAGTTGGTCTCTCCCCGAGAATAATTATGAATTTAACAACGATTACTGCCTGATGACATTTTCCCACATCTGCAAAGCTCACTGGAAGGACACAAACCGAGGACAATACTCCTGATATAGGGTTTATTACTCAAGTAAGGGTAAAAAAGTATCTGATTAGAAGGATACTTGAGTTCTGAGTATCAACTGAACTAATATTTTTAAATGATTACATCAAACAGACATGAAATAAGAAGTTATGGGCAAATATTGGTATTTTAAAGACTAAAGGGAAAAAAGTAAACAAATAAACAACATCATTACAAAATAACACATTTTTGGCTACATTTAGACACAAACTGAGGACAATATTTTCCTGAGATACAGGGTTTATTTAGTTGTCTGAAAATGTAACACGTTTAAAAAAAATACCGTGATAATACCGAAAACCGTGATAATTTTGGTCACAATAACCGTGAGGTTACATTTTCACACCGTGACAACCCTAACGGGAACTCATTGTCATTTACGACGATCTGGCCTAGAGCCAGCAGCAACAGACACATAGTTAGCTTTATACCAACAAAAAAAAAGACAAGATAAAAAAATATAAAACAGTTAGACATAAAGACAAAGGACTGTTCTCATTTATACTCATATTTACTCACATACTTTTCATATGTACAAGCAATCAGAACAGACTTAAAACAAACTAAGTGCTCAGAAGCACATTCATCAGAAACTATTGGCACAATGAATTATTGAAGGTAGATAATGGACTGAAGGTAGTGAGCTTCAGTGGGTTCTGCAGCTCATTCCAGTCGTTGGAAGCAGCAAACTGGAATGAGGAGCGGCCAAAGGAGGTGCGGGCTTTAAACTAACCATGGCTCTAGAATTTTCTCCATTAAACTTGTAGGGAGGTGACCTCTCTTCCAGAATACTTGGATCAACTAAAACCACGTGTCATTTAAAACGAGGTTTTTGCAAAATCCATAAATAAAAGCCAAAATTGTTCCTCATGGTTGATCAGATGGGTGAGCATGCGTTGGACGACCGAGAATGTTTATAGTGACCCAGCCGGGGAGTGTGGCGTGTCTCAGACATGTTGTGACTCTTCTACCCTGTAGAGCAGCAAGAACTGGCGGGCTGCCGTGGATCTGACGGGCCGGCTGCTGACAGCTCACGGTCAGGGCTACGGGAAGGCGGGCCAGCCAACCTCCCACACCACCGACTCACTGCAGGTAGGACGCCAGCGACGTCCTTCATTCAGCCTTTTTATCGCTCGAGATTTAAGTTTGTGTGGGAGACGATTAAAGCCAAGATGCATTTTGTTCTTCTCAGTAATCTGGAGCAAACCAAATACATGCTGCCTTTTGAGAAAGGGTAACATCTGAACATATTAAACCACTATTTCTCACCAGGAATATTTCAGTGGCTAAAGTTAAGTTTTAGTGTTTATTTCTTGGTAACAATGTTTTCTGTGCATTTTTTGTTTTGTTATTCAAACAAACACTAGAATCTGTGAAGTTATTTCCAGAAAACATCAAACCTGATCTAGGAGTTCCCAACTGGACGATCATTGATCGGGTCATGTGTAGGGTGCTTTTTCTAATCCACGTTTTGGAACAAAACCTGTGCAAACATAAGACATTGTCCCTCTCTAGCCCCACGGCTCCAAATTATTCTCTCCATTCACTCTAAAAGTGTGAAAAGCTCACGAGAGTTTGCACAACACGGCCCCGAAGCGACCAAACAAGCTCCGCACAGCACATACAGAACTGCAACCTCCCTTCCCCGTTTCAGCTCAGAAGGAAACCAGTGCAGATGCTTGATGGGTTGCATACAATAGATAATTACCACAACATCTGGGATGCTTAATTAAAAGGAATAAAAATACTGTGCATTTTATGTTTGTGTAGAAAACAAACAAAAGTAAGCTCAACATCCTGCAGATTGTCTCCGACTGCACTCTGTAGCCTTTACAGTTTGTTGTCTCTTCAACACGATGTCGAAGCACATTGTGCATGTTTTACATCTGCACAGCTCTGCAGAAAGAGTCTGGCAGCCTGCAGTCCAGACCTGTCGCCCAGAGAAAGCACGAGGTGCTTTATGTAATAAAAGTACGGCAAGGCCCTTCAGCAGATGTCAGTTTTATTGCATATATTGTATAGCGTATGCTTTGCTAAAATATATAAATATTTCTAGTTCACACGAGTCTACGAGTTGTTTCGCTGCCATTTTAATGAAGTGATTCACAGATTGTCACTGTTTTATATAAATTATTCAAACACATCAAATACGTGTTTTACAAGCTTTTTTTGGTTGTAAAGTTGTGTTTTCTTTTATTTTGCACGACAAGCTTTGATGTTACTCTTAACGTGTCATCCGTCAGCTTTTATCCTTCCATCTGATGACATCGTTGGGAAACGGTTTTATTCATTAATGAACAAGCATCTTGAAAGCATGCTGCTTTTTGATTGGTGTGTTTTTTCTTTGACATTTTTAATAAGATGTGTTTTTTGTGTGTTCCAGCTCTGGTTTGTGCGGTTGGCCCTTCTCACCAAGTTGAACCTTTTCCAGAACGCGGAGTTGGAGTTTGAACCCTTTGGCAACCTAGATCAGCCCGATCTTTATTACGAGTACTACCCAAGTGTTTACCCTGGGAGGAGAGGTATGTGCACAGTCCGGGTCGGATCTACCCGTGAACCCGGCTTTCCAACAGTGTAAAGTGCAGCTTTAGTTGGTGGATTTGTTTCCACCGGGCGCACAGCGACAGATCTCGGACACGTCCCAGCAGCGTAGTGTTGTGGTGCTTCTCTGGGTCTAGGTTTTATCCGCTACGCTTCCGGAACACGTCACACACTAACTTGTTCTATACCTTCACTGATTAATCCAACTTCATTAGTTCTATTAATGACAAACTGCTGTAGGACCCTTTTTCTGAGTGCTGAATAATCTAGCTCTCTGAAAGGATTTTTCATTTTGCCGACCATTTTTTGGATACCACCACTGTCCTATGAAATATTCAAAGGAAAGTTTCTGCCAGGAGCTCGGTATCAGACTGTATCACTGAGAAGCTCCAACAACTCTACTCGTCTCCAGCAGCTCTTTGGTTTTGTTTTTCCTCCTTTTACACTGCATGAATTGCTCTCTAATGTATTCCCATTACTTTGGATCTGCTTCGCCCCTCGGGCTACCACGGCGAAGGCGGTAGCAGAGAAGCAGCTGCACACACACACACACACACACACACACACACACACTTAAACATAAAAAAACAACATTTGAAGCTACGTTGCACAGCCTTCTAACAGAGAGCACCGATTGACTTTCTATTGCTCAATATTAAACGCTTTATGCCCTACTAGGTTTTGAGAGACAACTGGCATAAGTTATGTAGCCTGGCATCAGAATTCGAACCTTTCTTTCGTCCAACGCTCACATCGACTATCCATTACCCACAGTCGCTCTCTGTGAACGCCTTAAGACATGGCTGCCTCATGTATCGCTCTCCGGAAGGATCGGGATCGACTGAGCACTTAAAAATCAATATTTGTCTCTTATAATTTTCTTTGTAAAATGGAAAAAAGTTGAGTCTAATTCAAACTTAAAAGCAAATGTACGTTCACTCTTCCTGTACAAGTTTAGTTAAATATTACTTGATCATAAAGAATTTTGATAAATTTGAATTTTAAATTATTTTATTTTATTTTTAGTTTGACAATAAATCTGTAATCCTGACAGAAAACAACCATTACTGTAGTAAAGTCAAGAGCTGTTAAGAGCGCTGAATGAGTATCTCTGACACACTCTAGATAAGTAAATGTACTTTAGGTAGGGTTGTCACGGTGTGAAAATGTAACCTCACGGTTATTGTGACCAAAATTATCACGGTATCAGGAAAATATTGTCCTCAGTTTGTGTCTAAATTTAGTCTAAAATGTGTTATTTTGTAATTATGTTGTTTATTTGTTTACATTTTTCCCTTTAGTCTTTAAAATACCAATATTTGCCCATAACTCCTTATTTGTTGTCTGTTTGATGTCATCATTTAAAAATATTAGATCAGATGATACTCGGTACTCAAGTAGCCTTCTAATCAGATACTTTTTTACCCTTACTTGAGTAATAAACCCTATATCAGGAAAATATTGTCCTCGGTTTGTGTCCTTCCAGTGAGCTTTGCAGATGTGGGAAAATGTCATCAGGCAGTAATCGTTGTTAAATTCATAATTATTCTCGGGGAGAGACCAACTCTTATCGGCCCCTGGGAGCCCCGTAATGCATAGCGTCATTTCAACATGGCGGTGTCCGCGACACGGTTTATATGCAGGTAGCGGCGCTGCGGCTGCTTTATATAGCGACTCGTTGCATTCTCCCTCAACCCAAATCCTCGGATCACGCATTTTAGCTAAAATGCTAACGTTAGCTTGCCTTGCGTTGACTGTAGAGTTGTGGGTGATGGTCACGCAGATGTGTCATGAGATTTGAAGCGTTGCTGCCTTTCACAGACACTTTTTCTGCACGTGCTGCAAACAGGATAGCCGTCTTCTATCAACTGTCCCTCGGCATTCTTCAGATATCCAAAAGATGCCCGTACTTCCCACTTTGTCTTCTTTGAGGGATAATAAATGTCCTCCTGAGCGCTGCCGTCTCCTCCTTTGGCCATTATTTCAGCTTTAGCTTCATGAAAGTTTTGGTTGTAAACAACAAAGTGCGCATGTGCCTCCGGCAACTTCAGCAGATGATACGGTGGCTGGTAAGGGTCACCGCGCCTACACCGCAGCCACGCTAATCCACCAAGATAATATAGTTTTTAAAAAACAAGACGGTTATTATTATTGTCATCTTTTTTACCGGGGTTTACCGCTACACCGGTTACCGTGACAACCCTAATTTTAGGTGGCATCTAATGTTTTACATCTTTATGAGTCCAAACAGAATTACACATGCGAGCTCAAAGGTCAAAGGTTCATCAGTCGGAGATAAAACCTTTCTTAAATAAATATATAAACAGCAAAGAAACGTTTAACCAAAAGCTGAATATCTGCGTTTCAACTGTTCAAGACTGCTTAGAGACACAAACTTAAAGAGCAAGTCACCCCTTACAAGAAGCGTACTTCACTCCCACTTCATGTTTGAAAAATGCAACAAATGCTGTTGCCTAGCAGACGGAGAGGGTGGGGCCACTACAAATACACACACTCACGACATTGTGACATCATAATCTACCAGTTTACATCATAGCATACCTCTTAGCCAATGGCGATGGCAGATTTAAATTCAAATGCAGTGAAGAGTTTTTACCTGACAACGGTACAACACTGACAGTTTCAGGCAGAAATTTTAAATTTTAACTAAAATGCACTAAAGTGCAAAACTATTGACTACACGTGTCTGCAGCATGATTAGACACGCATTTATAGAGTTTATCAGAAAAAAATAGTTTATTTGGGGGTGACTTGCTCTTTAAGAAAATGTGTGAGCTTTTATTTTGAATCACCTTGAAAGTCGCCTTTTCTCTTCAGTCGGTCCCAGTTTGGGTCACTAACCTTCCCTAAGTCATTTCATGTTTCTCTCACTTTCTAAAGAACAGGTGTTTGTACTGGCGAGGGTGTGGAGGTGCCATATTTCACAGTACTAAAAGCATCTCTTGAGACTGAATTTAAAAGTAATTAATGAAATAATTCATTAGGTTTCAGCTTTGAAAGCAAATCTATCTGATTTGAATGATTTCTCTTTGGTCCAGAAACGTTTTTCAAAGTTAAACCCAACGTTTCTTTAAAGGTCTCATTCCCTTGTTTAGTCAGTACATTTGCTTGGTCTAGAATAAATGAATGCCTTGTCTTCTGTGGTGGGAAGCTCTTGCGCTCCTGTTTCGGGGGGTAGACGTTCACCGGAGGAGTGGGTGGGTGGAAAACGACAGGATTGCAATTCTTACTAATTAATATTCATGATAGGCAAATTAATTGTCTCTGATTGGCTAACAGCGACATGAATCTTCGTTAACAGAGAAATCGTAAAGCATTTTTTCGGGGGGGGGGGGGGGGGTAGCAGCAATGCGTTATGAACACAATCCCAAGTCTGCCGCCATGTTGCTAATGGTTAGCTTCTACTAGCCATGATGCACTCTGTTCTCGCCAAGGTGGGCGGGGCCATGAAACTTGTGTTCCCTGTGACGTAGAAGATACTGGTTTTTCTGACCCTATCGTTTCCTCGTCTGTTTCCTTTCTGCGGCTGGCGCAGGCGACGGAGAGAAAACATGTTTACGTTCAGCATGCATTTGCATCTGTATTTAATATAGCGCCTTCTAGAGTCCTGGAACCCCCCAAGGTGCTTTACAACACAATCAGTCACACACCCATTCACACACACATTCACACACTGGTGGGGATGAGCTACGATGTAGCCACAGCTGCCCTGGGGCGCACTGACAGAGGCGAGGCTGCCGAGCACTGGCGCCACCGGTCCCTCCGACCACCACCAGCAGGCAAGGTGGGTTAAGTGTCTTGCCCAAGGACACAACAGCAGACTGAGCGGGGCTCGAACCTGCAACCTTCCGATTACGGGGCGAGCGCTTAACTCCTGTGCCACCGTCGCCCACAATCAATGCATTTCCAAAAGAACACGTGGTACTCGGTTCTTCGGTGAACGAGGCCTTTAAGAAACCAATTCAGACTAGCACTCCCTCTAGTGGACCAGTGGTGAAAATGTAATCAGACTCCGAGTGCTAACACCCCAAAGGACTGAATAATGAGTTCCACCACATCATCTTTGAAGATAAAACCAACATACATCCATGCAGACGTGAGAGCGTGTCATGTCCTCTAGATGGGTTTGATAGAAAACAGCAGCTGATAAAGAATGGAGATGGAAGCTGAGACACAGACCGGCAGAAGCAGGAGCCAAAGATGGAGTAGCTAGCTGAGGTTCCCATCAGATGACGGTATCAAAGAGACCCTGATCAAAGCCTGGGGACTCACCTGAACATAGACTCGCTGGTGTGTGTGTGTGTGTGTGTGCGTGCGTGTGTGTGTGTGTGTGTGTGTGATGTAGAGGCAGGCTGAAGGATGAGGCAGTGATGGAGCTGTGCAGCACACAGAGATGGAGAGATGAGAGGGTTTAATAAGCAGCCATACGCAGCTCGGTGCCATCTGTAGGATCCTGCCTCCAGGGCTGTGTACAGTCTGTGTGTGGGTGGATGGCTTTATATTCTCATCTCTGCCTTTCCTTTTCCTCACTTTTGCTGCTACGTTTCCATCCCACCCTGTTTCATATTGTCCCCTCTCCTTAACACTTTCTCTTCTTCCATTTTCTGTCTTCTATTCCTCTCCTCTCCACCCATCTTTCTCTTCCCATCCAGGATCAATGGTACCGTTCTCCATGCGACTGCTGCATGCCGAGCTTCCTCAGTACCTGGCCAAGCCCCAGGAGGCTCTGGACCGCCTGCACAACCTCAAAACCGTCTGCCTTGCTGTTAGTACACACACACACACACACACACACACACACACACACACACACACACACACACACACACACACACACACACACACACTCTCCATCCAACTATTAACCTTCTTCAACATTCAAAAAAACATTCAGGTTCCCATCTCAGTCTACAGAAGAGAAAAGGCTCATCCATGTTTGCTCTAGGATGTCGGATCAGCTGAGAAATCAGGAGTTATTAGTTAAGGTGCAGAGGTGAACACTGATGTTTAAATCCCCTCCCTGAACAGATCCTGGAAAATTTGGAGAAAGGCTCGGCCGAGGATGGCAGCATGATCACCCTCACACAAGAGAATAGGCAAGGTAAACACACACACACACACACAGACTTGGCTGCAATGCCAGACTGCATCACATCGTGGGAGGAGAGTGAGGTCATGGGCCTGAATGGTTAATCCAGATACACACCTGGCGCAGGACTGCAGCACACACACACACACACACCAATGCAGTGCTCTAACAGTGTTTAGGACCTCACGGCTCTGGTACTCTCACAGAATATCAAATGGTCTCTCCAGCTCTTCACACCAAGCCGATCAATACGGATCAGTCCTGCCAATCCACTCACATCTGCACCAGCATGAGAGGGAAACAGGCCGGCATCTTCATCTCAAATTTAGGCAGACACGCCTCCTCACACGCCTAAATCAGTCCCGACTTGTGTTTCTGGGTCATTCAGCTTCCAGCAAGTTCTCCAACATCTATTCATCAGCTTCAAAAAGCCGGCTGCTGCAGTCGCTCTAAATGCGCTGTACACCTTCTTGTGCGTAGAAAATTAGCGGGGCGATGCGAGTGCGACTGTATCCGTGAGGCGCTTCAGTTCAGCCAGTTTCTAACAAAGCAGCATAAGAGCCGCGTCCGCCGTCTCTCCATCACAGACGGTCAATAATGCAGGGCCTTGCCTTCACACATCAGAACCCTGCTGAGTGATTAGCTCTTCTCCCAGCTCACACACACACACACACACACACAGTGATGAATAGTAACAGGCAAAGCACACACAGGCTCTCCCACAGCAGAGGAAGAGGAAATGTGCTGCAGTGTCTTCCTCACCGCCTCACCCTAAAATAACCCAGCTGGTTGTAATGAGAGGGATGGAGGAATAACCGTGAGGAGGTTTTTTTAAGGAGGAGAACTCGGGAATATCCAAAAAGCAGGTGGAATGAAAATAGAAAGTCATTGAACCCCATCTTTTCCTGTCTCATCTCTTCCTGTTTATAGCGTCTCTAAAACTGTGGAGGTCTCGTCTCAGTCGGGTCATGTACTCCATGGCCAACTGCCTGCTGCTGATGAAGGTGGGTGTGTGCGTGTGTGTGTGTGAGAGAGTCAGAGAGCCCTGATACTGGGCTGCTGGAGGATTCACGGTGAAATCCCCACAGACTGACCACTAATTGGATTCTTGGTCAGAGAAAGAGCGAGTGGAGAGAGAAAGGAGGGATGAGGGTGTCGTGGGCTCACGTCAGACTGTGGAGAGAAACACAGTGCCATCTACTGTTCAGACATGAGATTACACCGTTTTTCCAGCCAGTTCAGCCCCGTTTCATGTCTCGGGTTTTTAAAGTAACACTAAGCAACGTTTTTGTGTTTTTACATCATTTTCTTAAGCTAGCATCTGCTAAAATGAGCCTTTACAGGGTGAATGAGAAGTCTCAGCCCCCTGTGAGCAGCTTACCCTGTTTGTAATCCATGTCCACACCTCAGAGCAGACGAGCTACACTGGGTTAGCATTTATTCTAACGTGTTCATCATGGTGGAGCCTCAGAAGAAGCAAAGAAAACGTTTATCTGATGAAGCTAAACAGAGATTAAGAGCGTCTGACCTCAGTTGGAGTCCAAAAGACTCAACATTGGGAGTTTTCTGACTCACGAGAGCTCAGGGTCACGTTTCCTGCCCGTTTTAGATCGTAAACACAGCTGCTTACCGCTCCTGTAGAGGCTAATGAAGGCTGAGGAGACATCTCAGTTAGATGAAGGTGTTAAAAAGGCAAATGCACAAAAGGAGGGGAGTTTCGGCTCGTTTTTACAACTGAATTTAAGCGGACACTAGGGGGTGCTAAAAGCAAGCCAAAACTGCAGCGTTTCCCTTTAAATTTAAATCTAATTTGGATTTATTTATTATCCGTTTCACAGAAAGCAACAGAAAAACCAAACACCAGAGATTTTAAATGTGGTATTTAAGAGAATCTGCTGAAAATGGAGTGTAGATGTTTGTTTTAGGTGTCGACGTATCGCTGGCGCACTCGTTGGTTCTAGCAGACGTTTTAGACCTGAATGATTTATAGTCAGATTTTAGAGGCTTAATGATTAATTTTGAACATCCTTCAGGATTTATAGAAAATAAATCTTAATAGAAGTTTAAGTGAGGACAAATAAGCAGCTGTGGCTGTAGACCAGGGTCTGCAGCAGTTGTAGTCCAGAGGGATTTATTGTCCTCGGTGAAACGTTTGTAGAGCTGCAGCTGCTGCAGGAGCTTTTCAAGACACAGCTTATGAAGCGTGTAAGAAACAGGATCAGCGACACTAAAAGTTCTTATTTCCCAGATTTATGAGAAAGTCTAAAACCTTTTTATCTCTTCTGCCAACATTTCCTGTAAGATATTTGCTGTTAGTGTTGTTGATTATGGGATGGCTCCTTTAGGGATTTTTTTTTTAGCAGGACCAAAACTTTTATGAACTGGGTGACTCTCGGGAGCATGGACATGTTCCGGCCTCGCGGTCGCCAGCCCGGCCCGCCAGACGACTCCTGTTTAGTAGTGATGTGTCGGTCGCGAACGAACCGGCTCCCAAGAGCCGGCTCTTTGAAGTGAACGACGGGAGCCGACTCGTGATTGGGAGCCGTCCCCTCCCCCCTCCCCTCTTGCTTTGGTGAACGCTACAGGCGATTGGTCAACATGTTTAACTGTGTGACCAGACTGTCCACACAGAGCAGTAGGAACGGGGAAGAGGGAGGATCAGACTCAGACACACAGCAGAGCACATGCGGGTGGAAGGAGACGAGAGGGAATGAGGAGGAGGAAAAAGGCGAGAGAGAGAGAGGAAAGTGCGACGAAGATGGTGAGAAAATGAGCGCCAGCAGTCGGAAAGTGAGGATTTCTTAAAGTGTTCAGTTATTAAATCCATAGAAATTATAAATATTTGATATATTGCATTTGTTTACATTAGTAAATCATTTTACATGTAGTTTAGCATTATTTTGGTTATAAATGTACTCTACGCAACAGAAAATCTGAGGAGCCATTTGGGAGCCAAAAGAACCGGCTCTCTAAAAAGAGCTGGAATTCCCATCACTACTGTTTAGTTCTGCACAGAGAACGGGTCTGGGAATGCTCCTAACCCCGCCCCCTGAGAACCCTAACCGAGCCAATCCGCGCTGAGCAGCGTACGTCACGCACCACAACGCCGGGTTTGTCGTAAACATGGCGACTGAAGCAGAGGTCGCTGCGGCTCTTTCCTCTGGTCTAAATGACTTGAAACGATAAGAAGTAGAAGCGCTGAAAGCCTTTCGTTAACACCGATGCCAGACGCCATGTTTGACTACAGCTAAACACTACCGCATCGCGCGGCACAGTCGGCATTTCCGTCTGTTTTCTGATTGGTTATTTTTTATGCTTGTGAGTCACCAGACTCTCTCTGTGCAGTTAAGAGGACGAGTCTGGCAGGCCAGGCTATGCAGTCGGCACACACACACACACTTTAACCTCTGTCTCATCGCTCAGCATTCCCGTCACCGAGTGAGCGACGTGTCGCAGTGAAGAGGAGGGTCACACGGTCCCGCTTCTCCCCCCCGTACCTAAACCCTCCTTGTTAAGTCTCCGCCTCCTACCGTTTCTTCTTTTCTCATGTTTGCTGCTTTGTTTGTTTGTGGTCAGGACTACATCCTGGCTGTGGAGACGTACCACTCCATCATCCAGTATGAACCCCAGCAGCGAGTGCAGCTGCTCAGCGGTATCGGACGCATCTTCCTGCAGGTCTGTGCGTTACCAGATGGCTTATATGACTCTGGCTCCCCGGACAGGACACGCGCTGAAGGGATTTGCTTGATGCAAGGATGAAGAGCGCCACCCATGATGTGGAATATCAGAGCTTTATGGTTCAACAGAACAGAAGAGATTTGCTCCTATTTAACAAGGATTACGGCCCAATGTTCTCCCACTAACTCAGAACGCTCACTTATCTGGACAAAAATACATTTATCAATGCAAACTTAACTTATAAAGTGTTTTAGTAAATCACCGGATTCACCAAAGGTTGTGAAATAAAAACACGATCATACTTTACTGTTTTAACCCAAACAGAGTTTAACCATGTTTGGTTTTTAGGTGTGAAATAGAAACACGGCCACTTCCAGAAGACCTGATGGAGCTTTTAGACTTAATCCTCAGGTCTCTGCAGAAAACTGACTTAGTTTAGAAACAAGAGTATTTTCCTACTTTATTCGCCTCATTAATTCAGGAAAACGTTAGTTTTTTATCCGTACTCACCACCACTTCTTTTCCATAAGGTCGGAGACGTGAAGATGGCGGAGATCTACTTCCAGGATGTGGAGAAATCCTGCCAGATGAAAGCGAGAGACCCGACTCACACCACGTGTGTTTTGATGAACAGGTGAGCGCCTCTGCTTTGTGTTTCTACGGGACTTTTAGCTAACTAGGACGTGGCTTTAGGTGGTGTGGAAACTGTTCTAAGGTCAGGTTTCAGGGTTGGACCTTGCAGCTGCTCTGCGTCGAGTCGTCGTGGAGGCAAAAACTTTTAGAGACAGATTTAAGAAAAAATCCACTTTTATTTCCTGGATTCCTGCAAAAGAAACCTGTGTGATGTGGTCAGCAGATGGCGCTGTTGGTGGGATGGGAGTGGTGGGGCCTGTCTTTATTTATCCTCTAGAGCGGGGGTCATGACCACTTTAGAAATAATTCTACTAAAACTCACTAAGAAATGCAGCTTTGCTGCTGATTTACACTAAAAGTACCAGGAATATGTCTGGCTCTTTTTTCCATCCAGCTCAGGTTTCCTCTTTAATCTTAATCTAAAACTTTAAAAGTCAGAGTCCTAGTTTTTAATCTCACGTCATCCTGGGAAAATGACTACTTCAGCTGCCCTAGTCCTCTTCTGTAGATCCATATCAATAATCCCAAATAATCTCTTAAAAGGTCCCGTAACTCCTTTAGGTGAGCTCTGACCCCTGCCCTAGAGGAAGATCATGTGATGCTTACATCAGAACCTCTGAAACAACTCCTTTTGGAAAACATCGTCGTCGTCGTCTTCCTCCGCTTATCCGGGTCCGGGTCGCGGGGGCAGCATCCCAACTAGGGAGCTCCAGGCCGTCCTCCCCCCGCCTTGTCCACCAGCTCCTCCGGCAGGACCCCAAGGCGTTCTATGGCGTTTAAAGCGTGCCACAACCCGTGCACGCGCATTGGGTCCACAGCGCGCGTATGAACGGGACTCGCGAGCGGAAATATACATGGCGAGAGGTCATTTGTGCACTGAGAGGGAGCAAACTGTGTCTGTGAGCGCACAAGGATGTGCACAAGTGACAAACCTGCGTGCGCGCGTTGTCAACGAGCACACGGCAGAGGAAAATGTGCGCGCTCGGCAGCCTCTCTGCGCGCTCGGTTTCTGACTCCTGCTCGCTCGGCTGTAAGGGCTTTTGGCACTCTGGAGGCGTGGCCTGTGGGCAGATCTTCTCTGTCCTCTGATTGGTTAGTTCACCCCACACTTTACCCTCTATCTATATAAAAAAGTCTGATATTCAGTAGTTGCTGGCATAGCTCAGCTGGGAGAGCGGGTGACTCTCGCCCCGGAGGATCCAGGTTCGAGTCCGGGCAAGGAAAATGTCGTAGCTGTCATGTTAATTTTTCTAATTTCAGGTATT